CTTATCTGAGTCTTGAAAGCTCATTCAGTAAGGAAACCTGGGCAGATGACAGTTAAAGCCTCACTTTTAGTTCCAAGCTCCCTTCAGTGAAGGCAAAGGGGGAAAGAATAGGTGCTATTTACTTCCTATTTGTTGAGAAAAAGAATACTTTTTTTTTTCCAGGAACTAAAACTGAAACATTCGAGCAGGTTTCTCAGATTTATTTTTAGTATGTAAAAACCCCCTCAACATCATTTAACATGCAGAGTTCTGGACTGGAGATTGGCACTCAGTAGTTTCAGGGTGTAGCCCAGGACTGAACTCTGATAAGTTACCCAAAATAACTCTAATGTAGGTGTCCTCCCTAGAAAAGCCCACTTAAAAAAAAAATACTATCATAAAAGGAAGTTTATTCACTTACTGATTTGTCCTGAAGTGTTGAGGACAGACTGGAGAAGACAGAGGGACATCAGCTTTTGGGGCCTCCTCCCAGATGCTGCCCAAGGGCCCTCTGAACCCCATCTCTGTATTCCATTCTTCATGCTAGCTGCCCCCTTAATCCCCATTTACAACCCTTTCCCTTTCCTTTTGTGGCAGCCAGGCTTTCATCTCTGCATGTTGTCCTGAAGGAGGCCAGGGCTGGGTTCTGTGGGGAGAAGTGCTCCTCCCCCCCCCACCCCGTGTCATCAATGAGCTGCTGAAGATCTTTAACTCTGAATAAACACAGTCTCTGGGCAAGGAGCAGCACCACAGATGCTGATCTCAAAGCTTTCCTTCCTTTCCAGTGTTTGACAGACTTGAGCACACAGCAAGCAGGTGGGAGCAATAGTGAGCAGGGGGCAGCAACAGTGAGCAGGGGGCAGTAACAGTGAGCAGGGGGCAATAACGGTGAGCAGGGGACAGCAATAGTGAACGGTGCTCTCCGTTGTTCTGTTGTAATCTTTGGTACTGGAACTCCTGGCCATTGGTGGCAGCGGGTTACCACTCTCAGTCCTGGGCCTGAGATCCTTCTGATTCTGGACATCTCTCTGGAGCCTTTCTGGAGACTGGGACCTGCAGGTTCTCTTCTCTGGCGCCTGACAGCCCTTTATCCTTTTATAACCTGTCTGCTCTCTCCTGTCAACCCACTACTTTGTTCATGGTGTATGAACGACCATCTGATGCCTTCAAGGTCTTAGCTGTCTACAGAGAAGGAGCTGTGCACATGCCCACACAATTGATCCATAGTGCCTTCAGAACCAAGCCAAAGCTGCTTCAACTCTGGTGGATGCTTGCTTAGCTGTAAAACTACACCCACTGACACTGTTTCTGTCTTCTTTTTACCAACTCAGCACACACTAAAGCAGGGAAGGCAAGAGCATTCCAGGCCCCAGTGTTGCAGCATAGGAAGGCACTTGGCAGCAGACTCCCCAACTGAGTCTAAGCAGCCTGGGTCACAGACTACAAGAGTGGGGAAGTGCTTACATCCATCACACCCCTTTGTTTTGTTAGACCCCCAGAAAACTCAGGTATCCGGGGTCCCAGGCCACGACCGAGGTCACCCCAAACACCAGGCAGATTTGAGAGCTTGCTGCAAACTGCATGAGGCTTTATTGTGTTTTTTTTTTTTTTTATGAGCTACCCCCATGTTGGCTTGGGTCTTCCCCCCCCCCGCCATGGCGGATGGCTAGCAAAGACAGCTCCAACCGCTGCAGAGAGAGATCTTGTAGGGCAGCCTAAGGGGAGTGTCTAGGGGTACGCAGAGGCTCATGATTGGTGTGCCTCCAGGCTTGGAGGGCTTGCCCTGTGTTGATTGGCCAACTGGTTGTTATGGCCCATAGGCCCTCCCAGGGTGGTTGCTATGCTCTGTGCGCCATTGCTGTGCGCTTGTCTGTAAAGTACATCCAGGGTCTTAAAGCATAGCGCCACCAGCTAACATCTGATTGGTTCCTTGTCACGAGGCAGGCATCTGACTTTCTAGTGTCTAGGACAAGGTCAGACAAGCACGTGTTCTGGCTGCCAAAAGGGGAACTGGTCCCTTCAGTTTGACCTGTTGCAGCTGTTGGTTTAGAACCAATCACGGTTGTGGAGGCTTGTGTTTTGGATCAATCATGGCCTTGTTGGATTGTCTGCCCCCCTCATGTATATTGTGCCCCCCCCATTATAGTAGTCCCTTTACCAGAGGAAGTGCTCCCCCTCTGGCCAAGGTGGAAATGGTTCAGGAGGCTTAGCCCTCTGTGGATATTCAAGATCACTGGTGCCAGCAAGCTAGCAAGGATAGTCCAGTTGGCTGTAAAACCTATAGCCTGTTTGTTTCAAACTGTTCCATCCATGTCTCTGCTTCCTTATAGAAAAAGAGTTTCAGAAGGAGTGCTTGTTGACAATAATTAACAGCAGTTTTAACAGTTGTAAACAATACCTAACACATGCCCAGAACCTAGTGAAATGTTAGTTGCCCTCATCTGTCTCACAAGAAGTCAGTTAACTAAATGACCAGCAAAGAGTGTGGGACAAGAGCTGGCAGCCAGGATGAAGGGGCAGTGCAGCTATACTTGTAAGGAGGAAGCTGGCCATTCAGGTTCAGCTGGCCATGCACTGCCCCTCCAAATGTAGGGAGCAAGCTAGCCTTATGCCACCACCCCCACCGGGCTGCAGCTCTCTGCACACACTGGGATTTATTCTCCTCTTGCTGCTCTAGCCATTACTCCCACCTGCTCTCTCTGGCATGTCTTTGGTTCCTGGGGCCCTCATTGGCTTCCCCCACTCCATCCATGTTGCCTTCAAGAGGATTTATAGCCTCTACTGCTGTCAGTAACCTTGTCTGAGGGCCTGCTTCTGCTTAGTAAGTACCAGGGAGCTGCCAGCCCCTTCTCTAGACACAGAAAAAAAATGGTCTGGGAAATTTGCAGCAGTGTGTGTTTGTGGGTGTTTCAGAGTGTGAGAACACTGTAGAAGTATGCGAGTGTACATGGGGTGATCATAGGAAGCCAAATATACAAATGGCAATATCTGATCATATGTGCAAAAGCACTTGGCTCTGGACCTGCGACAGCCCAGCAAACCTTCTTGTCTCCAGTAGCCATTTCAGAAGACAGCCTGCTGTAAAGCAACACTGCAGGAAGGTCACTGTCTGACAGAGACAGATATTTATTCCACTGTCTGATTCTGGAGAAGCCAAGGGCAGACTGTCCACCAGTGGCGGAAAACAACAGCCTCAACTTCCTGTAGCCTGAACTTTCATGGAGCCTGCCTGTAGCCTCTCACTTGATTCCCTGGGATGCTTCCTCAGCTCCGGCCTGCCTCAAGGTTTCTGCCAAAGAGAGTAGCCAGCTCCCTTGCTAGGATGAGCTTGGAATTAATTGGCCACTGTTTGTTCTTGTTTGCTCTATTCCATGGTGTGCAGGAATGTGTGTGGAAGGAGAGCTTTGAGTGCATTTATGAGGATGTGAGGGGGGAGTGTGTACAAGCATGGGTACACCTGTGTGTGGTGTGTGCACCACTGTGTCTGTGCATGAGTGTGTGAGGTAGTACTGCACCTGTATAACACCACATGAAGTGTGTGTGTGTGTGTGTGTGTGTGTGTGTGTGCGTGCATGTTGGCATGGGTATGTTGGCAAGAACACAGTTTGGGCAGAAGGGAATGAATTATGGACACAAAGCTGGCATTCACATTGAGAGCTTCATGCTTCTCCATTGAGTCCTTGGGCTTCCTCAGCCTCTGTGGTCCATGGAGTTGAAGTGCGGACACAGACAGAAAGCAATGGTAGTGTCAGGGAGTCACTTCTGTAGAGTGAACGGATGGCTGGAAAAGCCATACTCTCAGGGAAAGGGAGTCAGCAGCCTTAGAGTCAAAGCTAGAAACTGGCTCACGTCTGTGACCCCCTTGAGCCTGTGAGGTCTCAGGGCATGTCCTGGACACCCCTGATCCTTTTCTCCTTGCTGTTCCACAGCCATCTACAGGCACCTGTGGGCCTGCCAGTCACAAAGACCAGTGCCTCAGGGTGAGGACTGAGGCCCTGATTTCTTGCTGAGAGTGTACCAGAATTTAATCTGAGGCCCTAGCAGGCACTTTCTAAAATTAATGGTTGGTGAAATGAGAACAACCAGAGGTAAATAGCCCTTTTCCTGCCACACAGTCCCTGGTGATTTTAGCTGCAGTGGGTGAGTCTCTGGGGTGTTACCACTTTCCGATCAATAATGGTAATTTTCTTTCCCTAAGAGCCACTGCATCATGATAAGGGTCTTAGTGAGCACAGAGGTCAAAAGAAAATGATACGCTGTGCAGGGGGGCTCTGCAGTCTTGCCGTCTGTTGCCCATCATTCTAACAGAGTGACTCTCACCGCTCAGAACTGACACAGAGCCGGCTTGTGGACACTAAACTGTGTGCCCATGCCTGGGGTTCCTTGGGAGATCTGACTGGAAGGAATTGAGCCTCTCCCTTGTCAAATGTGTGCCTCAGCCCAAGAGCCAAAGCTGTGTTTAAGAGGAGGATGACAATGACAAAATGAAGCTCAGAACTCCCAGGTCCCAGGCCTTCTCTTTTGCAGGTGTGTGTCACAGCTGAATAAAAACTCACTCCCACAGGAATAACTGCCACCTGTACTCTGTACCACAGTGTCTTGGAGCCTGGGGCCCAGTGACTCTCTGCAAGAGTGTGATGAATAGCTCCCACTCTGCTGCTTTCTGATACGTCATCCAGTTCTGAACACATCTATTTTCTTTTGCATTGTTCCCAAAGGCAAGAGTGTAGTGTATCAAGAGTGGCTCGTCACTTTAAGACTTTCAGATGCATTCTGTAAGTCTGCAAACACACTGGTTATCATGTGAATCGCCACTATTTATGCAGACAAGAACTGAGGTCAACACTGGAAAGCAGTGGGCCAAAGAACAAGTTCATGGCTGTGTCAGGGACTGAGGAAGCCTGGTCAGTTGGTATGCTTACATCTAGCGGCTCACCTGGGATGGGATGGGGAGAGTGGCATTCCTCTTTAGAGGAGTCTGAGGCTGGCCTCTTCTTTGCTTCCCTGCTTCTAGGCACCACAACAAATGCAATAGGTAACTAGTTATTAATGTACATAGATGCTAATCCAACCAAGGGAAGGGCTCCAAAGCAATCTAGCCACCCCGGTATGCAAAAGACCCTCCTTCCTTCATTGTTTCTACTGGGTAGGATTTCTAGCCTTATCTTACTCCTATTCAATCCTGTTTTTCTGGTTAACAGCCCTGTAGAAACGAATTGTCATGTAAAAGAAAGGTCAGGAGGTACAGGTCTGCTTCCCACCTGCGAGTACAATCTCCCTTGCAAAGATTTCTCCCAGGGAAGGAAGGTGCAGTATTTTTGGTAGGTCCAAATAGGGGGTCTGGGAAGCAGGCACTGGAGGGCTGACGCAGAGGAATGAGCCTGGCTGGTTGGGGAGCAATGGACTGGCAGTTTTCTGCTGCCTGAACAGTCGGCGCTGTCCATCTCAACAGTCACTAAGCGTGTGACGTTTAAATTTAAAATTAAGTTTACTTAATGTAAAAGTTCACTAAACACGAGCCTCAGTCCAGTGCACAGCAGACAATGTGGCTAATGGCTGTTACCAGACAGCGCCGATTTGAGAAAATATCATCAGCACCGAGTTCAGGGCAGTGCTATCCAAGGCTCTGGACAGCTCCAGAGATCCGCTAGAGAGGCGTGCAAACTTGCCAAGTCAGAAGAGGTTTGTGGTCCAGGCCCCCTCCTGATACTGAATGACACCTGAGCAACGGACTCAGTTTCTCAGCGACAGAAAGGTAGAGGCCCAGGCTCCCGAAGGCTAGGGAGGTGCTAACTGAATCAGTGCTGGGCGAGCAGCTCCTCTGTTGCAACCCTTGCCAGTCTGACAGGCTCCTGCAGAGTTACATCACTTCCTAAAAATCAGGCAAACACCTCTCCTTCAAGTGAGCACCGACCCAAAGGAGCAGGAAACAGGAAATGTGCGCGTCGGAGGGAGGCCGGGGCTCCGCAGCATCCTGAGCGAGGGCGAGCCAGCTGAGATGACCGCCCTGTGCATTGCCCTGGTCTTGGCCCTGGGGCTCGCGTTCGGTCACTCCGACCAGGGTAAGCGACCTCCAGCTGGGAACAAGGATAGAAACCTGTAGGTGCCCGCGGCTATGGGACTTTTTCGGGGAGGGTCCCACCTAGAAAACCCAGTCCTTTCGGTGAGACTTAAAAGCGAAGAAAACTAAAACTGTCTTTAGAAGGGCAGGGCTGGAGGTCTTGCTTTCATCGCAGCCTCTTGCTTGTTCTAAACCCCCGGCTATCTTTGCCTTTTATGATCCCTGTAATTAATCAGCTTTACTGGGCATATTAAGAAAACCATAAACTTTTTGGCAGTTCATGGAAAAGAATGTTCCAGTCTGCTAAAAGACAGAAGTAATGATTTCACTTTAATAGTTGAGAACTCTGCCAATTGCAAAAACTTCTTGGGGAGAAACAAACAAACAACTAGAGTATGGAACTATACTCTTGGAAAAAGATTTAAAAGGGAAATGAGATACCAGGCATCCATTCAGCAGCTCTAACATCCAGATAATTCTTTGATTTGGTTTTCTTTGGTCTTGGTACCATGGGGATGTTTTCTTTGCACCCATTGTTACTAATGAACATTTGCTTTAAAGGCTAATATGATTACAGGCAATCGAGGTATTGGGAGAAACAGTACTACATCTCAATATGTGAGACTGAGCAGCTGTTGACTGGCTCTCTTGGCAGTTGCTACAACAGGCAAACACTCTCTCAGTTGCCACTGAAGGTTCTGTTGATTTGCCCTTTGTAGATGCACTTGCGGTCCATGGTTTCTGGGGATGGGTAGAAAATGCCTGCTTCTAGGGAAGGGCTGTATCTAAAGCAGAAGGAAAATGTGCCATTGTTATCTAGATAGGATGGTGACATCAGGCACTGATGACACAGAAACCACAGCTTCCACGCCTCTACCAGCCTCTCAGGCTCTCTTGCAGGGCACTCTCTCCGTGGTGTGAGCAAGTGTCTGAAGTAACATGTGGGGGTGTGTGTTACTTTCAAAGTGAGATGGGAAGTGCATCCTTGTTTTGTGCACTGGGCTTTGGAGCTGGGAGGAAGTGGAAGGAGCCATGAGCACATGCAGAAAAAAATCCTCTTTCATTTATCTTTGACTTTCCTAAGCTCTGTCAGAGCTTAGCATACACTAGGAACTCAGTAATTGTTAACAAATATTAAAGCCATCCCTGAAATGGCTGTGAGGCTGATCTTCAACAGTCACAGAGCCCTGAAAGCAGGTGGTACAGAGGGAAGTCAGAAGCTAGAGGTGAAACATGGTTGCAGTGCTTTGTGCAGAGAGCGTCTCCATAAGCCACCATGCTGCTTGGGCCCTGCCTGTATCCCCAGTGTCTAAAAGATGTAAAAACACCACTGGCAGAAAGCTGCATACTAAAGGCTGGGTGCTTGAACTTTAGTTAAGGGAAAGGCTATTCCACACTAAAGCTTAGATTTTAAAGCAATCAGTGCATATCCTTTTGAACCAGTGGTGCTTAAGAATATGAGTTAGATTACAGTTTTTTTTATGCCTTTAGTTATTAAAAAATAAAGTGTCTGGGGATGTTTAGTAGAAAAGTCTCATCTCCTGAACAGTGCCGCCCTCTCTACTGCAAGCATCTTCTGAGATCTACCCCAAACGAAGCCTTTATGACAACAAATAAGCAAGACTATATAGTACTTCCAGTTGCAGGAGGCTAACCTCATTCTCTGTGTGTCAGCTTGTCTTTGATGGACAGCCTGGTTCAGAACTGAGAACCATCTCAAATGAAATTATCCCCTGGGAAACAAGCAGGAGGCAAGTAGGAAAACAGCTTTCTTTGGATTTTGACCAAATCAATGAGCATAGTTGAGACGAACTCTGAACAGCACATCTCAGCCAGCGTGGGGTCTTCAGCAAGCTGGAATGGAGGTCTGTGTATAGGAAGACCAAGTTTTGTGGTCCCTGCATATTAGTAACAGAATGGTATTTGTTTGCCTTGGCCAAGACCTGTCCACAGGAAAAGGAATGGCGAGAGTTGGTTTTTAATGTGGGCTGCTGTAAGGGAAGTAGAGCTGAAGAAGATGCAGAGTGAGCAGAGAAGCTGGGGACTAGCAGAGTTAAGAGCAGAAGAACAGAATGCAAAAAAAAAGCCACCAGATGAGAGGCTTTGGGGTGTGGGAATGTCCCCTGCACAGCTGAGAACTGACTCCAGAGAGGCAGTGGTCTTGGGGATCCAAAACTACAACAAATCAAAAGAGAAGAGAGAAGAAGGAGAAGAGTACAGAAGAAAAGACAAATACGATATTGGTGGTGCATGCCTGTGATCCTAGCATGGGGGTGGGGTGGGGGCTCAGAAGGACTGGAGTCAGTGCTTAATTGGGCCATATAGAGACCCAGCCTCAACAACAATAGCAACAAAAACAACAGCAAACCAAACCAAACAACAGGGGATGGGACTAAAAAGTGTCTACAGTTCCAAAGTTCAGGAAACTGTGAGAGGGAGGGCCTTTTGGGATGGGTTCAATTCTGTGAAGACACAACGTGCCCTGTGCTTGCCCAGCCTGCCACAGTTTGCACCACCCTCACTCAAACACTGCCCACGATGTGGAGAAACAGGAACTATGCAGGGCAGTCTGCAGCTTAACCCGCCCACTGAGCTTTTGGTTTTAGTGATCATGATTTGCATTTCTAGAAAGTCTAACATATAAATGTTTTTTTTAATTTTTTATTTAAGCATGGTTATTTATCCATCCTATTCACTTTATGTTTGCTATTATCTACTGGATGGTTTTCTTCTAATACTTGTATAGACTGACTCTTGCTGCTTGCTGGACTGTTGGCTTCCCAGTCATGAGGGAAGTCTTGAGGGCACTGAGGGCAGAGCCTGGCTTGCAGGGAATGGCTCACCTATTATTTAGTGCCAGATTCTCTCCATCAACCCCTAACTCCTGGAAAGTACAGCATCCTCCTCTATACTACACACTAGGAATGAGGCCAGGGCTGGGTTGAGTTTATAGGAAGTTATGACTGGACCTTGGGCTTCACCTCAGCCATGGGGCAGGCAGACAGTAGGACTCAGTCTCTGACTATTGCATGAGAGGGAGTCAACACCTCTGGAAAGATGTAAGCCATCAAAGCAGAACCAAGAGTGTGAGGCCAGTCAGTAACCAGTAGTAACTATAGGGTCGGGGAGGTGACCAGTGAGAAAGGTAAAGACGACTAAACCAGACTGAAGATCTGAGGAGGCCTGGCTTCCACAGGGTTGGGGTTGTCCCAGCTGACACTGAGTGTGGAGTATTGTTATCCACCAGACATAACCTTTAGGTCATGGCCCAGTGTTGTAGCTTTAACTTTGGAAACAGTTATTGGAAAAGTATTCCTTAAAAGCATTGTGTGGTCTCTTATATCTCTGGAGCCCAAGTCTTTGAGGCAATCCTGATAACTAGATAGGCTCTGGGTTTTCATTTCCTCTATAATCTTGTTTGTTTAGGGGTTTTAAAGCTGTTCTGTTTTGTGAAATAGGGTCTGCCTCTGTAACTCAGGTTAGCTCAAAATCACAGTCCTCTGACCTCCGTTTTCTTAGTGCTGGGATTACCAGTGATGCCACCCTCTCCAGAGATGATTCCCTTAGATTTTTTTTATAAATTTAAAGGCAACTTCTCTTGTTTCATCTGGTATTTCTAGCTGTTGCCCATTGGGAACATTTTCTTAAATGGATCAGGTTGCTGGAGAGGGGAGTTTTTCTGTGCAGCATCCTGGAGGGTAGTTTGGAAATGTTCTCACCCTGTCATCCCAAGGGCTTATTCCAGATCACTCAAGAATGGGCAGCCAACAATGTTGACTGTGCCATTTGTAAGTCTAGGGGAGAAAAAGAAAATCTAATGTCCATCCACAGAAGAAGGGGGAATAGAAATTTGCAGTTTTAGAATGAGGGCCATAGAGAGAGCTTGATGAACCTGAGCTACTAGTATCAAGCTGGATCAGTCTTGAAATAACGCTGGCCAGAAACAAGAGATTAATATGCATGAGGTCAACAGTTCCAGATTTTTGGGAGCCGAAGCAAGGAGATTGCTTGAACCATGAAATCTGAGACCAGCACAGACCCTTAACTCAATATTATTATCCAAAGAATCATCGTGTTTACCTCAAGTTCCTAAAGTGCCCCAAACTATGCTATGCATGACTTAGATAGAGCCATAGGTGGGTGAATTCACACTATGTAGTATGGGTACACACTAATTTTTAAGTGCTTACTTTTGAGAGTAAGGGATAGAAATTATATCAAGTATAGCCATGCCTCTTACTGAGCTTTCTGTCAGTGTAATAAAATATCTGAGGAAGGGCTAGGGATATAGCCTAGCACACATGAGGCCCTAGGTTCAAACCTCATACCAACCAACTGATCAGTAAACAAAAAGAGACAAAAACCAAAACAAACAAATGAACATAAACAAAGTAAATTATCTGAAGATATGAATTTCTAAGGAAGAAAGATTTACATTAGGTCATGGTTTGAGTCCATGGTCAGTTGGCCCATGTTGCCTTTGGGCCTGTGGTGAGGAGGTACATGATGGTAAAGGGTCTGTGGTTTAGAAAACTGCTCATGGTCAGACAGTTGAGAAGCAGAGATGGGGAGGGGACTGGGTCCCAGGATCTCCTTCAAGGCCATACCTCCAGTGACCTAATACAGGTTCCATCACCAGGTAATAGTGCCACAACCTGGCAGTCAAGCCTTCAATACATGAGATTTGCAGAGTCATGCTAGAGTCATACTATAACAATATCTGTAGCTCTGTTTGCTTCAGGTGAAAAGGATAACAAAGGGCTGGAAAGACAGCTCAGAAGTTAAGACCTCTTTTCTTTGTTTGTTTTGGTTTTTTGAGATAGGGTTTCTCTGTGTAGTTCTGGCTGTACTGGAACTCCCTCTATAGATCAGGCTGGCCTTAAACTCAGAGATCCACAAGCCTCTGCCTCCTGAGTTGCTGGGATTAAAGGCATGTGCCACTAAGCCCTGCTAGAGCTCTCACTGTTCTTGTAGAGGATTAGAATTTGGGTCCCAACACTC